CTTCTTTTGTGGATGAGATTCTTCTTGCCTTTAGTCTTCTCACGCTTCACTATTGACTTTGCCTCCATTCGCTTTTCATTCTGCATATCGATTCAATTATGACTAAGCGCCAGCGTGTACAATTTGCTAGAAGATTCTCATGTGATTTTTTGCCCTTTAGATTCATATATATGTTACCATACGTCGCGTACAAATACGTCAAGAATAAACGAGATCAAAATAAACGTGAAATGGACTCAACTTTGGAATCGTTGGCTTCGCATCTATCGCGTTCTATGATACCGGATCAGGTAATTTTGATTTTCTCATCTTTTAGTGATCTTTTTTCACTTACGATGTCCTCTTATCTTGCTTAAAGCAGGTGTCAAAGGGCGTTTTTTTATACCGTAACAGGTGAAATGTGGAAGAGCCGGTGTACTGATTGATTGCTGTTTGTACGATCCATTAATTGCTGACGTTTTGATTCTTCTCCTAATTTTTTCTATTTTTCAAGCAGTGACGTCCATATATGTGAGGCAGAAGCTTCCTACATATTCTTAAACGAATTTTTATCATTTTTTCTCAAAATTTCATTGGTTGCAAAATGAAGAACTGTGGACAACAAGCAAAATGCTTGCATTTTTGGCTACTGCAGGTAACTGTTAAATATGAGCGAACCTTCAATCAAAGCGCTTGGACAGTCAATGAAGTGTATGAGCAAATTTGCAATCAGAATGATTGGACGCTCAGTAAACTTTGACATTTTGGTTGACCCTAATCTCGTTGTACAGGGCTCAAAACCTTGTTCAGGTTGTGCTTCGTATAAATGGTGTGTCTGCGAAATTGGCTGAAGATTCTGACGAATTTATTCCTGGAGCACTTACCATCGTTGAAAAGGTATTGTATCCTAATGTGAAACTTTATACTTTAACTTATCATATGCTCTTTCTAGGCTGTTGGTGTATTCATAGAGTGGTGTCCAGTTGAAGATTCTAATTATCCAGACACATCTGGTTGGGTTTTAGCTGAGGATGGAGGCGAAACGCAAACGTTACATTCACCGTCGGGCAGTCCTGATAGGGTGGGTAATACATTATTTGTTCAGCTACTGTGGGGCTTTTGTTCTGCTCATCTATGCGGGAGTGATGAAAAGTTTATAAGAGCAACGTTGTCTTAACTAGCCAGGATTTGAAAATTTTCTTTGTTTTTGAGGTTGTTGACTGCTGAGCCTTCATGATATACATCTCAGTCTATTTAGGCAGCCAAGCAATTGAACAAATTGGCCTTTTCCATAGATGTCAACGATCTGAGCAGTTTTCGTAACCTTGAACCTAAGAAAGGTAAGTGCGACTTTTTCATTAACACATTCACGACAAGTCCACATTTTTCGAGAACTGCCA